TACTGGAACCATTGGATCTCAAAATCCAAGTTTTTTTCATCATCCCATATTTCATAAACTAGTCTTAGCTGTCAAAGAAAAATGTTGAAATAAAGACCTTAGGTCTAAGTAGTTGTTAGAGAATGTACAGGACATGTGGTCCAGTGGTCTCCATGCTGGGTCTTCAGTGGAGATATCTGATGATGCCCAGGGGGCTGGAAATCTGTGTCTTGAGGGTGAAGCTACAGCTCCTTTCTATTTCAAAGGCTCCGCCTGAGTAATAACTATCTATAAATACTCCTGTCATATGCATTTTGTCATACTGTATACCACTGAAGAGCATCAAGAAGAAATGGAAAATAGTTCCGGAGGCTGAAAAATCTGAGATCACGGTGCCAACAGGGTTGATTTCCGGTAAGACCTCTCTAACTGCTTGTGGACTACTGTCTTCTCACCATGTTCTTGCATGGTCTTCCTTCTGCCTGTCTTGGAAGAGAGAAAGGGGGCGGCTGCAGCTGGCCCTGGGGAAACAGACCCTGGATTCCGCCACTCTTCGGAGCTGCCCCCCTCCCCTGCCATGTGTGTTTTTTAAACTGACAATATTTGTTTTGTTTAATGAACAATTTAAACAACTTCTTTGACAGAGTTGATTCTTTTATCCCCCTCCTTTTTGGTTGGTGCAGTTTTTCCTGCTTCATGAAGTAGATCTTTTAAAATCCCTTCAGAAATACTCTGCCAGCAATAAATTGCATGCATCATTTATGTGAAAAATGTCCTTATTTTATTCTTAAATCTTGAGTGGTAGTTTATCTTGTACAGATTATAGGTTGGTAGCTACCTGAAGATATTTTGTGGTCATCGGGACTTATTTCTGATGAGAAGTCTTTGACAGTCTAATTGTAGAATATCTTTTCTCTCTGGTTGCTTTTAAATTTCTTTTATCTTTGTTCTTCAGTTTCACTGTGTTGTTGCGAGGATTTGTTTTAATGTATCCCTTCGGGGACTCAATGTGTGTCTTTAAACTTAGAAGACTGAAGTTTTTGTTTAGTTTTTTTTTTTTGGGAGGGGCATTTCTGGGTCTTTCTTGCTGCGAAGTCTTTTCTCTAGTTATGCTGCATGGGCTTCTCATCTTGGTGGCTTCTCTCGTGGCAGAGCACAGGCTCTCGGGCGCTTCAGTAATTGCAGCATGTGGGCTTAGCAGTTGTGGCTCCCAGGCTCTAGAGCACAGGCTCAATTTTTGTGGCTTAGTTGCTCCGCAGACTGTGGGGTCGTCTTGGATCAGGGATGGAACCTGTGTCTCCTGCTTTCACAGGCACGTTCACTACCACCGAGCCACCAGGGAAGCCTGAATGAAGATTTTATTGGTGACAAATCCATAACCATTTTCTCTTTCACTGTTGCCTCTGCTTCAATAGCTTCTTCCACCTTCCACTCCAGTAATTCTCTTATCTGTTGTTTAACCTATGCACTTAATTTTCTAACCTGAGAAACTGTATGCTTTGTGTTTTGGTTTCCAGTTGGTTCTTTTTCAAATTTTCCTGTTCTCTCCTCATGCTTTCTTGTCCTTTCATTAAAGTTTCTATATCTTCATTTTTTACTTTCCTTTAGGTAAAACATATGTCCAAATATATTCCCAAATAGACAAGTACTCATAATATTGATTTAGTCATATGTGTACTTATAGGCACTGATTTGTAAAAAATTGCGAATTTTTTGTCTCACCAACACATTTTAAATAATACTTTTATTCAAGCATTTTACCTGTATCCGAATGTAACTATTTCTATCATTATAAGAGCTGGTTTCTGAATAAAAATGTAGCGTCCCAGAGCAGCTGAACAGCATTTGGGGATGTCGATAAAATGTAGAAGTGGGGCCTGAGAGTCTGCATTTGCACCACACTCCCAGGTAGTGCTGGAGCTATCAACATGCATCATGCTTTTCATGTGCAGAGTTTTAGAGTCCATATTTTTACTTTTAAGTTGTTGTGAACACAGCATTTTGAAAATTCACATACAAGGCTCTCATCAGTTATTTCATCTTATGTCGAAGAACCCCATTTGTATGGTAAAGATCATTTTTAAAAAGTTTACCTTGTTCGTATATATGTATTTCTGAATTGTATAACATATATCATGTAAATGAAGACAGGCTAATCGTCATGCTGCAGTAACAAACAGTCCCACAAGATCAGTTGCCTTGAAACAGCTTATACCACAGGTTCCCCCACTGCCCCGGGTCTGCTTAGGGCTCTGGTCTATGTCATCATCTCTTTGGAACATGGGTAGATTCAGTTCTCACCATTGCCAGAGGCCGGAGCAAGTGAAAGAGAGAAAAGGAATTGTGTTCTGGTTCCTAAAGACCTTCTTCTAGAGGTGACTATGTCACTTTTCATGTTTATTGGTCAGAGGAAGTCATGTGGCTGTGAGTAGCTCCAAGAGGCAGAAGTGTTGTCCCAGTATGAACTTATGTAGAGATCCAAAACATTTCTGAATAATCCTAATAACTGCTACACATACTTAGTTGCTTTTGAACATGACCATTGAAAGGCTTTCAATAAAATCCTATACTTGCATTTTAGCTTGTTTCATCTCCCCCTAACAATTACTGAATCTGTACTAAATTTTGGTTTTAATGTGCTCCAGATAAAAATTCTCAGGGGTGTCCTCTCTCAAATCAAAACTTGGCATTGATTAATTTGATTTGCTAGTCAATGGTTTCCACTTAAACTGCACACTGGAATCACCTGGGAAGCTTTTTGTTATCCCAGATCAGCCCAATCAAACTGGAACCCTGGAGGCAGGACTCTGGCATCTGTAGAGGATTTCAGCATGTATATAAAACTGAAGCCCTTTGTGTTAATCTATCTTCTCCAAAGAATGCTTTATTGTTCAAGATAAAGTAATTGAGAGATTGCCCCCAAAGAGAGACTCTATTAGGGCTTGAACAGGAGGTGAGCTGCTGTTTTCTGAGAGGGATTTTAGGGGTCAACATCTTGCCTTCTGTTATTGTCACTTCTGTATTGTTTGTTAAACCCAGGTATGAGGGTATGCATTTTCTTATTTTTTGCGTCTGATAGTCCTGTTTTTGTGTTTCCCTCTATGATTGTAGTTTTTCCTTAGCAGTCAGTTGGCTGTTGAGAATCTGTGTGGCATGTGGAATTGAGTCTTCTGGGTAATTGTTACGTTTGCTAGTGCTGGGTCTAAGGAGTTTCACCATTTTGGACCATTTTCTGAACCTGTGTATTGATGTAAATTGTAAAGAAATAGAAATTAAAGTCTTTTATGTATGTACACATTACATGCAAAAATGGACACAGATACACATGCACTCATACACCTTTACACGCACATACAATATTTGAATAGTAAGAAAAAATCCCAAGGCTTTGGGGGCAGGGAGTGGCCCACAGAATGGGAGGGACTTGTCCAAGCCCTCACTGATAGAAAGTGAACGAAAATCTCAGTCTTCCCACATACTTCTGGCCTGACTTATCCTACATTTGTAAATGTGTGTGTGTGTGTGTTGGAGTGTGTTCAGGATGGAGAGGCATGACTTAGCATTTGTTTAGAGATTGGGGGTCTTGCTCTACTTCTGTCCATTTTCTTTCCTGAAGTTTTTGACTGTGACCTTTCCTAGGCAACTCTTAATTGGATTTGTAGAAGCCAGAAAGTGCTGAGCACACATCAGAGTGAGGGTAACCGGGCCGTCTCCTAGCTCCCCAGAGCCACGGACTTGTTTGTGGATTGTGATCCACAATTCCCTCTAACCTGCACTTTCAGAAAGCAAACCAGCAATCTAAAAGTAATTGTTTCCTTCTGTGTGGATTTCTCATTCCAAAGACTGCCATGGCAAGTAGGAAGTTGGCTTTGAAAAGAGCAGAGGAACCTGGAATTAGACGACAGGCTTGCAGCGTGACCGTGGATGTGGTGGCTCTCCAGCCCGCATTTTCCAGCAAGAGTCCTGATTTCAAATATTTCATTCTGTTGGCTTTATAAACAATTCAAATGCCCTGGAAATTCCACCATGAACCATATTTTCTAAAATGTTTCTTAACTGATGAAAGCAGCACAGAAATCCTTTGTTAGACTCTGTTGCCCCAGTTTTGGTTTAGAAAATATATCACCATCTATGCAAAGAAGACTTTTTTTTCTTCTTTTTTAATGGTGGGGTTTCGAAAGGCAAACACAGTTCTATTTGGGACATACCAATTTAGAAAAAGCTGACCCAGTATCCCAGATCTCTGTGGAAATCCAGGCCTTCTTCCTCTTAGTTATTCATCCAAGTGTGTGTACAGACATCCAGCCAGTTCCCCCTCACAGTCTACTGGGCAGGGGGCATAACTGTGTCAGCCAGTGATGACAGGGGCTCTGCCCTCAGAGACTTCACAGTCCGTGAAGGGAGATGAAATATGGATACACACAGTGTTAAATACAAGTCAAAGGTGTGAGTGTATCAGAGGATATAGAATCACCCAACTGGGAAGATCTAGAAAGATATTGATTCACTCCTCCTCACCAGATTCCACACAGCATCACTTCCTCTGCGTCCTGTTGATCAGAGCAAGTCACTAGCCCAGCCCAGAGTGAGGATCCACCTTGGGGTGAGGGGGGTGGAATGCGCACACAAGGATGTGCGGCTCTCTGTGCGTACAGTTTACCACTTTAAATTCAAAGAAGACATGTTTATTCATCTCACAGCTGGGACTGGCATCTCACCATTTCAGCACACAAGCACTTGGTCGCAGGTGAGGTCTGGCTGTGCCCTCCTGCTTGTCTGAGCATGTGAGCTTCCCCCAGCCACTCACAATGGGCACAGTCATCTCCTCTCTCATGCCCAACTCAGGATGAAGATGATTCCTGCAAAGTTCACTTTGTGAGTGATTCTGCAAGGCAGCAGTGGTCATCTAGTCTTCTGATCGGTCCCTCCCCCTTCCCCTTTCACTAACTTTGCTCTTTACCAGTTCCTTGCCCATGGCATCCACCATTCTCACCCAGGTTCCTACCTCTCTCTTGTTCCAGGAACTAAAACAGGGGTAGATATTAGTGATGGTACCTGTGAGCCCGGACCAGCCTCCCCAGCCTCCTACATGAACCCCTTCCCGGTGCTCCATCTCATCGAGGACTTGAGGCTGGCCTTGGAGATGCTGGAGCATCCTCAGGAGAGGGCAGCCCTCCTGAGCCAGATCCCAGGCCCCACAGCTGCCTACATAAAGGAGTGGTTCAAGGAGAGCTCGGTGAGTAGGCCCATGGCCTGGGTGGGGGAGCATAGTCATGGAGTCCATGGAATGCCATCAGGTTTATCTGAGGTGCCTAGCTCCTCCTCTTTAAGAGTCTGTCGATAGTCACATCCGCATGCCCCCCTCTGAACACTGATGAATTCTTTGTCATGATATGTGTTGTTCAATATTTTCATTACACAGGCTGTCAACCCAGGGTTCTGTAACATGTCCATGCCAGTGTGGTAGGGAGAATAATGATCTTCTGAAGATGCTTACATCCTGATTGCCAGAACCTGTGAATAAGTTTCCATACATGGTGGAAGGGAAGGAATCAGGTGGAATTAAGGTTGCTAATCAGCTGAATTTAAAGTGGGCAGAGTGGCCTGAGTTGTCCAGGTGGGCCCAGTGTACTCACTGGCGTCCTTGTAAGAGGAAGGGGAGGCAGAAGAGTTAGTGTTGGAGTGATGGGATGGGTGAAGGACTTGTCTCCTCCCCCCACCCCCACCCCCAACTGCTGCTGGCTTTGAAGGTGGAAGGGCCAAGAACCAGGGAATACCGGCAGCCACCAGGAGCTGGAAAACCGGCCTCTCCTCCAGAAAGGAAAGCAGTCTTACCCACAGCTTAATTTTAGCCCAGTAAGAACCATTTCAGACTTCTGACCTCCAGAATGGTAAGATAATGAATTTGTGTCATTGCAAGTCACTAAGTTTGCGGTAATTTGTTAGAGCAGCAACCGAGATTGCTCACAGAGGAAGGTGAAGGCTCCTGGGTTGGGTGGGTCTTGGGTGGGCCTGTTACAGTTCTGGTTTACAGACCAGCTTCTCATCCCTCCCCCACATGAAGGTGGTTCTTGGTAGTCCTCTCAGACTGATGATAGAAGTCCCCACCTGCTTCTCCACAGCTCTTTTTATTTATTTATTTGCTTCTTTATTTTTGGCTGTGTTGCTGCGTGCGGGCTTTCTCTAGTTGTGGTGGTGGGGGCTAGGGCTACTCTCTAGTTGTGTGTGGGGGCTTCTCATTGCAGTGGTTTCTCTTACGGAGCACGGGCTCCAGAGCGTGTGGGATCAATACTTTTGTCTTGAAGGTTCTAGAGTAAGGGCTCAGTAGTTGTGGCTCACGGGCTTAGTTGCCCTGTGGCACATGGGATCTTCCCAGACCAGGGATCAAACCCGTGCGCTGGACTACTGGGGAAGCCCTCCACGTGCTCTTTTAACTAGGTTGGAAATTGCTGGGGAATGGCTTAGGTAGGTTAGTCCTCTTTTTCCCCAGCAGAGGATCCCCTTTGCCTCCCTAGAGAGGCCCTCTCTGGCTGTTACTGTGTTTGCTTTATGATGCTGGTCCTGGCTTCTGCCCTGTCATGTCTGACCATCTTCTGCTCACCTCTGTGCGGCTGCGACTCTCTAGTTCACTTTATGCCTGGCATAGGCATCTATCCCTCCTTCCAGTCCTGCTAGTACTGATTCAGGCTGCAGTGTTTACAGAAAATTTTATGAAGCCTCAAGAAAATGATATAGGTTCATAATTCATCAGCCTGGAATCCTTGGGTCTAGATGCTTTTTAGAACTCAGAGATTATTAAACTTTAGAAAGGTGAGATGGTGCACATGTATTATATAATATGTACCATTTCTAGCCAGTGCAGGGCAGGAAACACTGAACATTTCTTCAGCAAAACTTGTGAATATCTGCATGAAGCAGGATAAAGAAGCAGGATAAAGACAGACTACCAATACATAATGTTCAGTGACTATGTTTATCTTGCACAGATGTGACAGAATTTATGTAGCCATTCCTCTAATATTGAATTGAGATATTTTTTAATCTTTCACTAATAATGTGGCATTGCTGTAGAGACTGTCTTTGTCTAGAAATATTTCTCTCTAAATATGTTCTTCAGATGGACTCGTGAAAGTAGAATAATAGTTAAACGAGGCTTAACAGATAAAATGCAGAATGTTCTGTTAGAATTTTAGATAAACAATATTTTTTAATAAGTGTGTTTCATGCAGTTTGCTAAGTCTGGCAAACTCTGATCAAAGGTATTAATATCTTTAAGCCTTGTGACACATTTTTTCCAAACCGCTTTTCAGAGAGATTTTGCCCATTTCTATTTTCTTTGGCAGGGCTTGAGGTACATCCTGATCAACAAGCACTAAGATTAAGAAAACAGCTAATTTCAGAGGAAAAAGAGTTTCATTTTATTTTTCCATTTCTTTGTTTAGTAGAAAGGTGGGATTTTAAAATAAGCTTATTAATATTTATTCTTCTGTATGGTTTCCAAACTTTTGATCTCATACCCCAATATGAAAAAAAATTTATTCTCCAAATATACATATTCATGTATGGAGAATTGTCCTAATGTATGTAAGTTATAAAACATAGTCCCAGATAGAAGATCTTTTTAAAAGACTGGTTAAGAAAATAGTTTTAATATTTTCTTCACATACACAACCCAGTGATTATTTTGAGTGTCTTGGCTGTGCCTGCTGTAGTCTGATCTGTTAGCATCTGTATTCTTGCCTCCCTGACCCTATTTGGGTTTTAGTGCTTTTCTTATATTTAATGACTTTTTACTAGCTCTTTGCTTTGTGGTGTTCCTTTTCCTCACTTTTGTTTTTAAATGTTGTTTTTGGTGAGGGTTTTTTTAAAAATTATAAACGAATTGTAATTTTATCAGTCTTTCCTGTTTGAGATTCTTTTCTTTCTAGAAAGTCCCTACCTGACCTCAGATCAAATGATATTCACCTGTATACTGTCTCCAGTAGGTTTATAGTTTGATTTGTATTCATCTGCAGTCTTTTTAGTGTGTGGTATGAAATAAGGATCTAACTTTGATAATTTACCAGAAGAGATCCTTAAAAGCTATTTTGGATCTAAAAGCAGTCATGGTGGTGGTTGGTTTTGCAAGATCCCTTCCAGAAAACAGCTTGTGTTCAGATTTGCAGATCTGTTTTGGTGGCTGTTTACAACAGCTGGGGAAATGCTTGCCTTGGGATAGATGTTTCTAAAAGTTGTTGCATTCATAAATCTTCTGGAGTAATTATGGCCATCAGCAACCTATGAGTGGTGTACTTTGAGGGGGGCGGTCAAAAGTTCATATAAACATTCCAAGATACCAGGGTTGGTTGTTAAGGTTTTGATTCTGGACAGAGACCACCTGTGTGTGTTTTCATTTTCCAAGATTTAAAGTCATTTTACAATCTGGTGCACACAGTCCATAGCAGGTCTTATCTGTATGGAAATAGAATTCGAGGCAGTGAACAAACCCACAGCTCCTCTTTAGATTAATTTTAGATTGCCTTAGCTTGGTACTTTTATTTATTTATTTCTGGCTGCACTGGGTCTTTGTTGTTGTGTGTGGGCTTTTCCTAGTTGTGGTGAGGGGGGCTACTCTCTAGTTGCCATGCGTGGTCTTCTCATTGAGGTGGCTTCTCTTTTTGTGGAGCTGGGCTCAGTAGTTGTGGGGCACGGGCTTAGCTGCCCTGTGGCATATGGAATCTTCCCAGACCAGGGATCAAACCCTTGTCGCTTGCATTGGTGGGCAGATTCTTTTTTTTTTTTTTTTTTCATTTATTTTTATTAGTTGGAGGCTAATTACTTTACATCATTGCAGTGGGTTTTGTCATACATTGAAATGAATTAGCCATGGATTTACATGTATTCCCCATCCCGGTCCCCCCTCCCACCTCCCGGTGGGCAGATTCTTAACCACTGGACCACCAGGGAAGTCTAGATTGGTACTTTTAATTAGAAGGTATTGCTGTTCAAATTGTAGTCTATGGACCAGCAGCTTTGGCATCCCCTGATAGCTTGTCTTAAAGAAAAAAAAAAGTTAGACTTTGCCTCTCCCCTCCCCAATCCACTGAACCATTTCCAGGTGATTCATATTCACTTTGAAGTTTGTAAAACACTGCCTTAAACCACAGAGACTCACGTGAATTATTACCCACCACCCCCAAAAAAACACACAAAAACACATGTGACTCAGAATTGGAACTAATAAGATAGCTTGAAGCCAAGCTTGTGCCTTCTCATTTCTCTTTCATGCTATCTGTGCATCCCTTAGATGTTTGCACTGTTCTCTTTCATCATAAACCTCACTTGTCATAATCTGGCCTAGCATGACCCAGCCCTGCCTCATGACATCTATCAGTAGGGATTCTTTCTCAATAAAATACAAACAGTAAGGAGGTTTATGTGTCACTAATGTTATATGTTATGTTACTAACATATAACTAATATACATGTAATGAACATATAACTAATAATACATGTATTAGTTATATGTAACTAATATATGTCCAGGGGATGGGTGGTCCCAGGACCATTAAATCACCCATTAAATCAGTGGCTCTGGGATGACCTCAAAGACAGACTTTTCTTACCTTTCTCCCTCCCCATCCTCAGGGGTTGGTATTTCCTCAGGCATGTCCCCTAACACAGGGGCCCCCAACCTCCAGGCTGTAGACCAGTACTTCCTGTCAGATCAGCAGCAGCATTAGGTTAGAAATAAAGGGCACATAAAGGTAATGAGCTTGAATCATTCTGAAACCGTTCACCCCACCCCCACCCATGGAAAAATTGTCTTCCATGAAATTGGTCCCTGGGGCTAAAAAGGTTGGGGTACTGCTGCCCTAAGATGTAGGGCAAGTTGCAAGAAGGCTACTTGCGGCTCTGGGCAGCCTCCCTTCACACAGATACAGTTATGTCTAGAGGTAGAACTTGTCCTCTTCTTATAAACTGGGGAGGAAAACGTCTATCTGAAACCTCCCAGCAGCTTCCCATATGGTCCCAGTGGTCAGGATTTGTTTGCATGTGCATACCCTAGCTGCAAGGGAGGCTGGCACTCTCATCACAGTGGAGGGGAACCTCTGTCAGCAAGGAACCAAAAAGTGGGGGAAACGAATGGCCCTTAGGAAGATAGCTCACAGTGACTGCCACACATCCTTTAGGTTTGATGTTAGTCATCTTGTTGACTGACAAGTTCATGTTTTCTGTGTATGTGTGTTAACCCCC